TGCCGCAGCGAGCTCCCGTTGTAGTTTCCGATCAAAATGTCGGAACTTCCGACCGGAGAGGAAGGGAACGTCGTCGAAGGAGCTAAGCCGAAGCAGCAAGGAAAGAACCGGAGAAACGACGAGCTCCGGTCGGCACTTCCGATCCAAATGCCGTAACTTCCTATCGGGATGGAAGGAAAATTCGTCGGAGAGGCGAAGTCGTTCGACCACGGAAGAGCTAAAGACGCGACGAGATGGAGAAAGTTTCCTTCGCAGTCGGTGAGATCCCGTCGTTGCTTGCGATCGAATTGTTGTAACCTCCAGTCCGACAGCAGGGGAAGGTCGTCAAATGAGCGAAGTTGAGAGAAATAGAGGGAGAGATCGTGCGAGAGCCAAAGTCCAACGAGTCCCTTCCTTCGGCCCTTTTTACGGCTGCCAGAGAGATCGTGCAACTACGTGGGGGGAGATCGTGGGTGTGGAGCTCGAGCGACATGGCCGAGAGGTACGTGCGATCCTTTCTCCCCTTTTTTATTTCATTTCAGGTCAACAGTCTATTACTACTAAAATTACACTCAATATATTCCGTTTTAGATCTACTAAGCGAAAACCTTTAGACTCTAAGGTTGACCTCCATAATTCACGTTTACCTTCAACTCCTTCTCTAGTCTTATCAACAAGAATAGTATCATCAGCAAAAAGCATACACCAAGGTACATCCTCTTACAAATGTCTAGTGAGAACATCCATGACTAAAGCAAAAAGATATGGGCTTAAGGCTGATCCTTGATGTAACCCAACCAAAATAGGGAAATACTTGGTATATTTCAAGATGTTATATTCCATTTGTTTGAGTACACCCATTAGCTACTAGACTTGCCTTATACCTTTAGTGATCCATATGCCTTGTTTTTCATATTGAAGTAACATTTATACCCTATAAAATTTTTTCTTTAATTAAGGTTTACTGAGTCCCATTTATGTTTTCAAGTGCTTCCATTTCAACTTTCATAGCTTATTTTCACTCTTTCTTCCCTATCCTTTAGAGATAGTATTTGGGATATTAATAATGTTGAGGGTGATAAGAAGGCTTTTATGGCTGCTATACAATTTTTTAATGTCAGAAAGTTAGACAAGGAATAAAAATGTCATTGTTTACTTTTCTAACACTTTCTCTCATTGCAACAGGAAGATCACAATCATTAACAACAGGCACGTTATCTTCATAATCTATAGAATTAGAAGCTACTTCAATATTTTCAACATTAGAGATCGATTTTGGAATCAAGAACCTGCATTCATTTAAAAAGAGTTCTTTTTATCCTAGAGTATACTTGAAGTGGGTGAGCAGTACTTTAAATTTGTTTATCCTTTGTTGCTGGATTAGGAGTACTTGTATCTGATTTGGTAAAAGATTTGAAGTAAATGATGAAGAAGAATTTTGATTTTATGAGGATGGGGAGGATGACTGATCAAGCAAAAACAAATCTATCCTTACTAACAAATTGTAAAGATATTGTTAACAGTAGAAGGTCCCCATACACCATTTTTTAATTTGGGGCTCTTTTGTTTGATGAAAAGAAATGCAAACTAAAAACAATGCAGTGTGGAGTAAAAGTTTTCTATTGAAAATATTTTTAATGAGTTTGATTGAGTACATTATAAATACAGGAGTTTACTTTTTCATACTTGATTTGAAGGGAATGCAAAGAAAAAATTCTGCATTTGGCACACTGGTTGATTGGAGGTGGTCGAACAGAAATGCTATGGCGGACAACCGGCGGTAGCAATGGTTGGCATCAGTGGGTGGCGATGGGTGGCTGTAACGGGTGGTTTTGGTGGCTTACAATGGGCAGCGGCTACAGACAGTAGCGATGATCGGCAATGGTGGCATTGGCATTTCTTTTATTCAAGCTTTGTATTTGAAATTTGCTAAAAAATAACGAGTTTTAAATATACTCAAAATGAACTATAGGGTGAATTCCAAGTTCTCTCTTAAAATATTTTGCATGTGAAATGTAGCCATTCAAACACCTGAATTTTCAAAACCCATATATTTTTTTTTTACACTCAAAATGTTGTTGACCAAACAATTTCTGTGTTAAAAGCAGTGAAGTTACTGTTTTACTTGTTTGTAATGAAAGACAGTTATGTTTTGAAAATTCATAAACATCACAATGAAAATTACTCAAATAAAATCCTTTGAACAAATCAGGAACGTTTGCTTTTAGAATACTGAAAAAGGTTTGAGCAAGGAAAAATGATATAACCCTTTTTTTTATTGGAAAGAGAAGACTCAGAAAGCAGAGCATTGGAATTAGATCCATAGTAATATTTTTCCCATCAGCTTCCTCAAGAAAGTAGATACCACTTCATGTAGCCGACCCCACGTAGTGGGATATAGGCTTGATGTCGTGTTATTGTTGTTACAATTTGGGTCTAATGATGACTATTTTCTATTTTCATTTAAAGAAAATGAGTTGTTGGATAAATTGATAACTTTTGATCTATGACTCAATTTCTATTTGCATTTAAGCATCCCACACACTATTTTTGTTGTATTAGAAAACATTACCCCTATATTATCTTTTATTATTACTCTTTTTATGTTGCTTAACTTGCACATCAACCAACTGTTGTTGCATCCTTGATGAGTTTTCATTCTTGTTGTTGATCTTTATCACTATGACACTGAGTCCCACGTCTAATTTTCATCATAATGAAACCTTAGGTTGTGATTGAAATGTTGATGTGGCAATGTAGGATTTTTAGTTTCTTTGGGAGATATAATGCTTATTAACTGCTTAAAATGATCAATCTGATGAGAACAAATAAGATATAAGTTTGCAATTCATTAAGGGGAATGAAACTGGTAGCATAAATATTGTTTATCACATTCGTTGTTTCATACAAGAGAAATAGAATCAAATCAGTATGACTAAATATTAAAACTCCTTGTAGAAACTAATCAAAAAATATTTAGATCATATAGAATAAATGCTGAGCATATAAAAATCATGTGCTGAACTGACGGCATTGACGTTACAGAAGGAAATAAGAGGAAAAGAAGAACCAAAAGGTAAGTGTGATTCTTGAACTATGACATCGCATCTTGAAGAGATTTGGAAGGTGAAAATTGTTCAAATCTAAAAGAAATTATTTTCTTTTAATATCCAAAAAAGAGTACAGAATTTCTTATCTCCATATTTACAGATGGGTGTGGTGTAGCATATAAAGAGAAGAAATCTTGCTGAATTTCGGGTACTTCAGATTTAGAATGAATGGAAATGAATATTCATAAAGCTGAGATCCCAAATGTTAGGGCTAATGCTAATGATTATGAAGATATAATTGATGCCACTTGTACATTATCTTGCTAAACCTAGTTGAGACTTTGACATCCGACTGCTAGGTTTTTGCTTTACAGTCTAATTTTGCTTTAACTATAATTTTCTTACATATGCTGTTGCATTTGTTTAATGTCAGCGGTAGTCATGTGTTCCATATCTTCCGCAATTTTCTTTGCAATCGTCTTTTTCTGGTTTCACAGCCATGTTTTATGGACTATAGAGGTCCTTGAAAGGCTATCAAAATGTTGATGTGCTCCTAATTTTGCTTCTGGAGAATGATATGGGGAGGGATTACACCGTTTATATCTTCATTCCACATTTTAATGTTGATAAACAAATAGATTTATGCTAGTGGAACCCATTGAGCTAGGAAGGGGAGGAAATTGGGTTAATTTATATACAGCTTGAGAAAATATGGTTTTGATTTCTATGATGGGCAGGCTGCTAACATGCAAGAGTCCCATGGCATAATGTATGAGAGTTTACATATTTAAGATACCATCAATAACTTCTTTTTAGGGTGTGTAGAAGTGGAAGGGGGAGGGTGGCAGTGGGGAGGCAAGAGCAACAAACTTTGGTGGTGGGGAGGTAAGAGCAATATAGCTTGAAGAAGAAATGCTTATCAAATCAATCTATTCCTTTCTTTTGGAATAAATTTGAGGGAAATTACCACTCAACATTATATGTTTGTGTTTGTGTGGTTCTACTGCCAAGTCATGCTGTTTAAGCATCGGCTCTAATTTAGATTTTTTTCTTTGTTTTTATCTGATGGGATTCTGGTTTTTGTTCTTATCTTAATGTTCCATTAGATGAAATGTTAGATCAGAACTTTCAGATAATTTGTTCGTTATGAATTATTTGATGTTAGGACGGAATTACCCTTCCAAATCCCGTCTATAATGTACCAGATGCTTATGTTGTTCGCATAAGTAATGACTAGCCTTTTACACACAATAGCACTACAATTACGTTGGACTCATCAATGCCGTTCTTTGCTAAAATTTGTTTATTTAGATATGATCATGAATTTTTGAAACAAATGAAAAAGCCACCATGATCCAAATTTTCAATTAATTGCAACTTTTTCAGGCAGATAATAAAAGTTAACAAACAATATGCTGAGAAGATTTTAGGAAATCAATAAGGGAGGTTATTTCCTCCTACACAAGATCTAATAAGATGAGATTTGTTTGTTATTTTGATTGTAAAATCTAAATTTGAAAATAAATATTTGGAAAGGATTTTAAGGAATTCATATGGTTTTGATTTATACTTGAAATAATTATAAAGAATTTTAATATGAAATTTATTTCCATTTAACAGTGTGGTTTGGCTCTCGACAAAACAAAAAAGACCCATTCAGTCTCCTATTTCTATTTACCGGTGTGCGTGCAGTGTCTATGTGGAAAACTTAGGGTGTAAGGTTCTTACTGCAGAATATATTTATATTCCCTTGTAATCTTTATATATATCATGTTGTCATTTTTTTTAAGATTTTTTTAATAGAAGGGTTCTTGTTTCTGGATATATATTACATAACAATTTCATCCGGAAATCTGGAGAAGTACTGCAAAAGCTTGTCATTATGTGCGTTCTATAGCAATAACTTCATTGGAGTAGTTTGCATGACTTGCCTTTCAAGCTATACGCTTATTGTGTTTTTTTTTTTTTCAGTCGGTTCCTACAATGCAGGGGGCCGTTTGCTCAAAGGAGGCATCCGTTAGTGGACTCTAGAGTGGTATCTGAAATTAGGAGTTGCCTGGAAAATGGCTCTGTTTTCCAGGGTAATCTATTGAATTTTAAGAAGGATGGGTCTCCATTAATGAACAGGCTACAGCTAACACCAATTTATGAGGATAATGAAACAACACATTTTCTTGGCATTCAATTCTTCACGGAAGCCAATGTTGATTTGGGTCCTTTGCCTGGCATTTTAACGAAAGAAAGCTTGAGGCCTAGCAGTCGCTCTACACTTGATAATTCAATCTATCGTCCTATTGCAACTGTGCATGGGAACAAATGCCGTGAATTTTATGGTATGCTTCAGCTGAGTGATGAGGTTTTATGCCAAAGCATTCTTTCAAGGTTGTCCCCAAGAGATATTGCCTCTGTTGGTTCTGTTTGCAAAAGGCTATATTTTCTTTCTAAGGATGAGAATCTTTGGAGAATGGTTTGTCAGAATGCATGGGGAAGTGAAACAACTCGTGCATTGGAAACTGTGCCCGGAGCGAAAAGATTAGGATGGGGAAGGCTGGCACGGGAGCTAACCACCCTCGAAGCCGTGGCATGGAGAAGATTAACAGTTGGTGGCGCCGTAGAGCCATCTCGATGCAACTTCAGTGCCTGTGCCGTTGGAAATAGAGTTGTTCTTTTTGGCGGGGAAGGCGTGAACATGCAACCAATGAATGACACCTTTGTACTAGATCTGAACTCCAGCAATCCAGAGTGGAGACAAGTCAAAGTAAGCTCACCACCACCTGGACGATGGGGCCATACTCTGTCTTGCCTAAATGGGTCTTGGTTGGTAGTATTTGGTGGCTGTGGAAGACAAGGCCTGCTTAACGATGTGTTCATATTAGACTTGGATGCGAAGCATCCTGCATGGCGTGAGATCCTTGGACTTGCTCCTCCGCTTCCAAGGTCTTGGCACAGCTCATGCACTCTCGATGGAACAAAGCTGGTTGTTTCTGGTGGATGTGCAGACTCCGGTGTGCTTCTCAGTGATACATTCTTACTGGACCTCATGGTGGAGAAACCTGTGTGGAGGGAGATACCTGTTTCATGGTCGCCGCCTTCGAGACTGGGCCACAGTCTTTCTGTCTATGGTAGTGGCAAGATATTGATGTTTGGAGGTCTTGCTAAGAGTGGGCCGCTGAGGCTGCGCTCTAGTGATGTCTTCACTATAGATCTAAGTGAAGATGAACCTCGGTGGAGGTATATAACTGGTAGTGGAATGCCAGGCGCTGGTAATCCTGCTGGGATCGGTCCACCTCCTCGGCTTGATCATGTTGCGGTGAGCCTACCCGGCGGACGAATTCTGATCTTCGGCGGTTCTGTTGCTGGTCTGCATTCAGCTTCCCAATTATATCTTCTGGACCCAACAGAGGAGAAACCAACTTGGAGGATACTGAATGTGCCTGGTAGACCCCCTCGATTTGCTTGGGGACATAGTACCTGTGTTGTTGGAGGAACACGAGCTATAGTGCTCGGTGGCCAAACAGGAGAGGAATGGATGCTAAGCGAATTGCATGAACTTACTCTGGCAAATTCCTACTTGTGATGTGATTGCCAGCTGACCTGAATATTTTTACGAAAGAAACCCATACCCCCACTTTGCATGGTTCGGAATATTGGGTGATCGGTCTAACTGTTGGTTGAAACAGTTGAAAAATATGTTTAGCCAAGTTAGATGGGGTCGAGTCTTCTTTAAAAGGTTCACTTAGTTCATGATCTTCTTGTTTATTTGATGGCTTCTATGCATCTCTTGCAGCATATTACAACTGATGCTTATTATGTATCGGGCTTCATTAAAGCTTGGGTGGGGTTTTTTTTTTTGTTTTTTTTTTTGCTTTTTAAGCTGAAGCACCGATGCTGTTGATCTGTTTATTATTGTATAAACTCTTACCAAGAAAGTTGCTTGTTTGGCATATGATAGTTGCAATCATCTCCTTTCATTCATGAATTATTCTTTGCGGACGTCAAAAGCCGTACAGAGCCCAATGAAAATGCGCCATATCACCCCTATTCGGTACTACGGCTTGGTACCGAGCTTGGTACTGAGCTCGGTACTAAATGGCGTGGCTGCACCTGTTTGGCCTCTGGACGATAAGCTGTGTCTGGTGTCTGTAGAGAATAATTTCTCCTGAAATTGTGTATCTATTGCAGACTATACGTCATCCTATGTTTTTGTATGTAAATATCCCTGAATTTTTATGCATTATGTGTGCAAAAGACTAGTTTCCTACAGTATTTCTCAACACTTTCACTTCTACCAGCATAAATTGAATATGAAAAGCTGCTAGTGGCCTGCTGGCAATGCATTATTGTGAAATACAAGGGTACAGATTTAACTTCCATCTATTAAATTTTCCTGGTATTCTTTTGTTACATAGTGATTGATTCCTATCGACTTGCCAATACACTCAGTTTGTTGAGGCAGCTTAACTTGGAAAATTAGTCTCATCCGATGGTTGAGTTAATGGTGTAATTCATCATGTAGGGCTTCGCTCGTCGTGCTAAGTTAGTTATTAGGTACATCTCAAACTCGGGTTAGTGTCATTCTATGTAAGTTACTGCCTAAACTGTTTAGTTACTCCCTTCTTAATCCGATGGGTGCCAGGTCGTCAAGTCTACCTAAGAATAAAATATATATATATATATAAAAAACTTTGGTTTCTTATAAAGAAACTCTTTATCTTCCTTTGTATTGCTATTGCACTTGGGATTCATCGGGCTTATTATGTGATAGAAAAGTTCCCTCATGATTAAAAAAATATTCTATAAGATGGTGGTGAGACTTGCAATGTTTTATGGTGTATTTACTTTGTGTTTTTTATTAGATTTAAATGAGAATTTAACTTTTAACATGACACAATGGAGAAAAAGGATTCATATAGTTGATCACAAATAATAGAATAAAGGTTCGATGCTATTGTTATTGTTGTTGGGTTTATATGATTGTCATGATCAATATTTCTATTTTGTGGGTGTCAAGCATTATGATAATTATTCCTTTTGTTTGGATAATCAAAAGGACATCATTTAGGGATTTTAGGCTTTTTCCTTGTATTTCAATATGATAAATATGCTATATATTATTCTCTAATGTCCAAAGTTCATTTACTGAGTATTTACTTTGTATTTTTTATATATTTGATGCATATTTTTCGCCTATTAATGTGTATTCAATTCATATTTACTGGTTATTTGATGTGTATTTACTATGAATTTAATGTGTATTTATTGCGTATTTAGTGTGTATTTATTGTGTATTCAATGCGTATTGGATACATATTTGCTACGTATTCAATGTGTATATGCTCCTTTTCTGCTACGTGTTTACTGTGTATTAGTAGAATTCAAATTGGATGGTTGAAGTGGAGGAATGTATTGATTTTATTATGTGATAGAAGAAATCCCTCAAACTTAAAAGAAAAATTCTATAAGATGGTAGTGAGACTTATAACACTTAATGGTGTATTTACTAAGTTTTCTTTATTAGATTTAAATGAGAATTGAACTCGTAATATAACACAATGGAGAAAAGGATTCATGTATGTGGGATGAAGGCTTGATGTTGTTATTATTGTTGTTATTGGGTTTATATGATTGTCATGACCAATATTTCTAATTTGTGAGTGTCAAGCATTATGATCATTATTCTTTTTTTTTTTGGGGATAATCAAAAGGACATCATTTAGGGATTGTAGGTTTTTTCCCATGTATTTCAATACAATATAAATGATATCATTTACTGTGAATTTTCTACATATTTTATGTGTATTTATTGTGTATTTACTGCATATTCAATAAATATTTATTTAGTATTCATTGCGTATTTACTGTGTATTTGCTACGTATTTACTACATATTTAATGTGTATTTACTATGTATGTGTTGCATATCTTCTACGTACGTATCTACTGTGTATTTGATGCGTATCGACTACATATCAGCTACATATTTGTTGCTTATCTGCTATTTATGAGTTGCGAATCTGTTGCCTATCTACTACGTATAAATTAAAATTTTCTTGAATTTTCATTAGTAAATAATTTTATAAAACATTTTATTTTACATATTATGCATGTTCTATTTTATAGAAAAATTAATCAAAGACTAAGTAAAACCTATGTACAAAAAATATTAATCAAAGTAAAAAACATATGTATATTGTACAAGTTCTATTTTACAGAACTTGTAAAAACTATATTACTACGACGATGTAATTTACATATTATACAAGTTTTATTTTATAGAAAAAATTATTCAAAGACTGCGTAAAAACATATGTACAGAAAAAGTTCATATCAATAATGAATAAAATAATGCATATATGAATTCCACCTTATATTTTGGCATTTATTTTTGCCAATTTTTAGTTTCAACCCAGTTGGTGTTGCCTTCAAGAAGAATTGGTTCGTCTAGGGCTTTCTGCTTGATTTGGACTAGAGAAAGTATCCCTTCAGTTGGGATGGATTGTTGGCAGGATGAGGAGTATGGAGGAGATGTTTGCTCAAGATCAAATTTGCATTGAGAAATGTGGAGGATTAGATTGTATTCAATTGATTCTACTCTTACAGATAGATTCTTAAACCTTCTACTCAACCAAACTTCAAGTTCATGGAAGAACTTTATACATGTATCCTGGAGTGATGTCATCAATTTATTGTGGAGACCATCTTAAGCTTGAGCTACAGTAGGAAATGGTGCTTGCTGAAGAGATTGGGGGGCTTGCTGTGAGGAGTGGGGTTTGATGGGGAGAATGAGGTGTGTAGGTGGGGAATTCTGTTCTGGTTACTTGGGAGGATATTTCCTGAGGGGGAGGAAGGATGTGTGTCTGAATGTTCTTGATACCTAATATAGTGTTTGCTTCCTCTTGGGTAACTCTTTGGAGGTCTTAAAAAACTTGAAAATAATTTATTTGTTAGCAAATCTCTATTCTTCTTAAAGACATTAATTAAAATTTGTTGCATTATAAATCTGCATATGTATCTTTACTTTAAATTAACAAAAAAATTGGAGGCCTTCATGGAATTATATAAATTATAATTGCCCCATCAAAGAAAATGGGGCCTTTGGTCAGCGTACCTAGGGGCATATATTAAAATATGCTCCAATAACTAAATATGCATAAGATCAAATGTAAATTTAACAAATGAATTAATAAAATGAAATAAAAATTATGATGATGCTCTTAGCACTCACAAATAGTAAACGCACAAAATCATTTATGTAACTAGTTGGCTTCTACATCTTCTTGGAAATTTTATTAAATTCTTTAACTAAAAATTCCCTAATTGACGTGCTCAGTTAATAGATAAAAACCGATCCACACTATTTGATATTGAATGAAGCTTCTTAAGGGTTTGGAAGTTATTATGTTGGAAAAATAAATTTGAACACAAATATATAATAAATATTTTTAACAAAATGGATAAGGGTGAGGAGGGAGGGGGGTTGATCTGTTCAACTCCAACATCTCGCTCTTTACTTACATTTATGAGACTTTTGTAAGTGCAGAACTAAGCTAGATGATCTCTTGACCACTGTTTGGCAATCCAATAAGAAGTGCCACTTCATCTACTATGAACTGTACAACATTATCCTTTATTATAAAACATTGTCATGGAATATTCCACAATTTGAGGAGCTCGTACATCAGTGAGACCTTCTGCTCAAGAGAAAGGAATTTAAAAAATTGGTAGATATTTAATCTCCTTAAGGTGTCCTCCACATCAAGGTTTATTATCTCCACAAAGGTGTCACATATTGTTTGGAAGTTGATACATAGCATTGAAAAGAAAGAGGCTGAATATAGACCATAAATATTAAAGAAATAAACACGTAAAGTACGTAGAAGATAAGCAGAAGATGGATAGTAAATAAGCAAAAAATACGCAGAAAATACGCAAAAAATAAGCATAAAAGGTGCAAAAAAATATGCACTGAAAAAGCAGATAATAAGCAGTAAAATACATAGAAAATATACATAAAATAAGCAAGCTAAAACCCTAAACCCTAAATAAGCAGCAACATGCAATAATCAAGTCTAGAAAAGATGCAGTAAATACGTAATAATCATGCAGCAACCAACTTACATTTATAACAAAGACAACTAAAAACTAAAAAGAATGGAAAAGGAACAAGCTAAACATAGAAATTTGTTAAATATGCAATAAATATGAAAAACTAAAAATACAGTTAATACATAGTAGATAAGTGGAAAATATGTTCTTACTACGCAGCTCATACGCAATTATCACGGCAAGCAAAAAAAGGACTAACCTTTTTGGAAGGTGAAGCCATTAGCACTGATGAAAAGTAATCAAATGCCAGAGATGCAATGAGAACACGAATGCCAAAGAAGCATGAAGAACAGTGAATGACAAAGAAAAAAAGTTAATACTACTATGAAAAGTGAAAAGTCTCTACCATTCGATTTTTTACCAGTAATTTGGGCGGGTCGGTCAGGTTAACAAAATAAAAAAAGACAAATATAATAAAAGAAAATACAGATAAATATCCATGTGGGCAATCCACGCGTCAAGATTTCATTGGTGTTTGGGTACAGAGCTACGTCAGAACTCTGCACAAAATAATTTCTCTATAAGAAGGCATATAACTAAAGAGAACCGAATAATAAAGCTGGAGCACAAGGAAAATATATGAGGGTTTATGGCAGAAAAGCTTGTTTAGACCATTATTTTTAAGAGATGTATATGTCTAATAATAATAGTGATAATTCACTAATTAAGGCTAATATTGTTTTTAATAAAAAAATACTCAGGATCTTGTTCTTATTAAATTATCCTCACTTTTAGCCATAAACTATTTAGTTAAAGTATGCTATGAGCTGAATTGGTTCAAATTAGTTTGTTTCAAATCTTCTAATTTAGTTCAAATCACATTTAATTCGAACATGGTTCAAATCAAATTTGATTCTAATTTATCATTGTCAAAAAAATTCCATCATGTTTCTATACTTACTCGAACCATAAGTTCGAATCACATTCTTCAGTATAACCAACTAGCTACTTAGATCTTTTAGAATTTAACATAAGCATAAAATGACAAGCATTATATCATTGAGTATAACTAATCAATGACATTACATAAAGTGTGTTATTAAAGCGAAGAACTCAATACATAATACAATTTTAATGTTGTAACAATGAAAATCAAAATAAAATGAAACTATCATTAAGGTGATGGGCCCTTGGACCTACAAGTTACTTTGTTATGGAATTTCACTTCACA